TCTACGTACGCGCATAGCGCACAGCAAGATCGCACCGGATCCGTCCAGGTATTCGTTCCGATTGACGCCGAGCAGAGCCGGAATTTTAATGCTACTCTGACGCTCTTAAGGATAATTCGCGCCTACTTAGACAGACGCCGTGGACTAATAAAATTCTACTTTACTGACACTTTTTCACTTCTCCCTTGAACCTTTAATTCTACGGATTAAATTTTAACGCCACCCGGATCGAAATTTTAAATTCTACATCGAGTCTTGAAGTGAAGAAAACGGAAATAAGTGCTCCTTTAACGCTACAAAGAGAATTTAATCCTCCAGAGTCTAGATTTTAGTTCTACATAGAGTCTTCAAGTGGAGAAAACGGCGATAGCTTCCTTATTTATAGTACCAAAGAGCACAATAGAAGACTTTTGAACGCTTAATGGAATTAGGACTAAATTCGATATAAGTAAGACTAAGATTTCGATTCGGGTGCCTTCACACAACAACGTATATTGACTCGAAGACAGCGGAAATGGAAATGTAAAACATCGTCAGGATAAAAAAGTAGCGTTTATATTATTGGAATTCAAATTGAACCTACTTTGCCCTTACTATATCGTAGAATTAAGGGTTTAAAATAATTTCGGCTCGGGAAAGAGCTCGATTGCGCGCGGGACCGGTTCTTCCTCTTTCTGTCTCTCACACATTCAACGGGTGTCTCGCTTTTCTTTTCTTTTTTTCTTCCTCTCCGGAGCGAGCACAAGTCGCGTTCGCAACGATGGGATCGCGCCTGCACGACGCTCTATCTTTACGGCGAAATCGCGGCAGTCACGCGGCGTTGAGCCGCGTGGTTACGGGGCGAAATTTATAATTGGCACCGCAATAGTCGACGAGAGTAGACGCGCGGGTATAAATGCGCGCGCGCGCTGGTACACGCACGCATATACGGTCACGGTGCACGTTCCGCCGAGGCTCCGAATTATTATCGCGCGTAGTAGTAGGGGGAGAACACGATGACCGTCGTAAGAGGAGGCCCCCGAAAACCCTAACTCCCAAAGAGCTCTACCGGCTGGCCTTGGAATATGAATAGATTGCCCGCGAAGAGTGCATTGCACTGTTGCGTAACTACGCGGCGTTTTATTTGCAAGTTTCGTGACGACAGTCGGCAATCTGGCCTCGTCGTTAAATCCTCTCGTGATCCGGTCGGCACGCCGGGGGCATTTGCAATGTACATCCTCGGCTAATGCGTTTTACGCCGTGCAAAACCGACGGCAACGTCGGGATAATAGAAGCAGGGGACGATAAGCGTGACGCGCGAACCGAGCCGTTTCAAAGCGTAAACAGCTTCGTATTGATCGAGCGTGACAGGTTGACTTCTGGAAAAGAAAGGAAGAAAAGAATAAAATAAAAGGAGCCTGTTCCCCGATATCTCACGGCTTGAAATCTACGCCGGGCCCATTATCTCCTGCCATTACTTTGTTATTCCGTGCACCGGCTTATCGGCGATCGTCGCGATAGCATTTCTGTCACTCCGATCGTTAAATATAGTCCTTGTACTATGAACAAGATCTAAATAAATACGCGCGAAAGCGCTCTCGGCGCCTTATCTCTCTCTACTCGCTCATTCAGCAATACCCGTACTCGCCCGATGAGTCGATGACGGCGATTGCGGCGATGTTATAAACATGTCCTCGAGGCCTCTCCGCTTGCGAGCGTTACGCAACGCCGCCGAAATTCCTTGCAACATATCGCGAGTGTATCTTGCATGCGCCCCTGATAACGGAACAACGCCGGGCGGGTCGGCGCATGTTCGCCTCGGAAAGCTTCTTCCAGAGAGTTTCGGCCGTGGCGCATTACGAAATTTATTAATAGTCCCGAGATGCCCCCCCCGCCCGAGATGAGCTTTGCATACCTCATTATTTCCACAAGTGTGCCGTGTAACTAACTGCGCGCCGTCTTGCGTTTCACGCGTTTCCGAACGCAGTTCCCAGATATACGGGGTGTCTCGTCGCGGTCGCAAGCACTTCTCCGAGGTGTGCACCGATGATTTCTAATGGGATATTCTATGCAATTGCTAAAAACGAGAGAGAGAGAGAGAGAGGGAGAGAGTTTATTCAATCCGGAGGGAGGGGATGAATATCCCATCGAGTATGCAGGGTGAACCACGCGACGTGATCAGTTGATTTTGCTGTTGGTGGACCGATCGAACATTTTTTTGTCTAGTATAACATAGTCCAAGGTGGGACGATCTTAAAGCTCCCCTTAAATTTATTTATACTAGACAAAAAAGTGTTTAAGCGGTCCGCAACAGCAGAATAAATTAAGCTGATCACGTCGCGCGGTTCACCCTGTATAATAACACAATATACGATTGCTAGTAGACCTGACGTCACGAAGTAACACATTTAAATAAAAGTGAAAGAAAAAAGAAAAAGAAGGTGATAAAAAGAGAAGCAGTTCGGTATCGAGTTATAAGTGCGCATTTACAAATAATGAATACATTAAACATAGTAGAAAAGAAGAATAGAAAAAAGAATAGATAAAGAAGATGAAGGTTAAGAGAAAGAAAGAGAGAGAGAGAGATCGTTTTTTTCTTTCTTCTTAGATCTAAAGGCCCGATGTTTTTAATCCGGCGAGATGCGTCACTTCTCGATTAGTTCTCTTGTTTGCGCTGCGACGGAGTATATCGCGATACCGGTGTGCATGTGTGTCCGGATTCTGCTTACGATATACGTCGGCGTAAGCGATGGCGCAATCGGCCGGCATAGTCGCAAAACGCCCACACACGCTCACGCGACTCGGCCGTTGGCCCTTGCATAGCACATTCGGAGCTTATATTTGGCTCGAATACCTGCGACGACGACGACGACGATACGCACGCGTTATATTAGGCGACTTACGAGCCCTGGAATTATCGATCCATTGTTAGCGGATACCTGATAATTGGGCTATGAGAGTATAGAAAATTACTTTCGGTCGAAATATACTTCGTGTCTAAAATGACTCTCCCTTTCTCTCTCTCCTCATTATGGGAATATATTGTTATCATTATTACCGAGTTAATTTACGGGATGATATTCCGGTGAGTATTCGCAGCTATCGCGAGTCAAGAAATACGCTTAGAGAGACGCGTGGTAAATTCGATATTCGTCGTCGGCCGAGAGATTCGAAATCGGTCGCAACGGGGAGCGCACGGAAATTCGATTCCTGCGCCAGAAGAAAGAGCTCAAAGAGTTAGATACACTTTGTTCCGGGAGTCATTCGGAAAGACAGGTGTTTTGAACCACCTGGTCGTGCCTTCGTCACCTTTCTTTTTTCTCTTCTCGCACTTGATTTCCTTATTCGGAGGGTATCACCGACGGGTCTTCTTCCCACATCCATCCAAATGCACACGTACGTCCACAGCCCGGTGAGCCGTTTTCTGTCGAAACGTACGCCGCGTCCTGCGTCCTCGCTAAGCGCGCGGAATTTTCGCGAAGTAACGGAACGAGTGAGGAGAAGTAACACGGTGACAAAATATACACGTGTTAATGCGATTATTCGTATTAAAATTAAATAAACACGAAGAAGTCTCGGAAGACTTGGTAGCCAGGCGGTTTTAACTAAAGGAAAGACTTGATCATTACTTTACATATAGAATGCAACTTAACAAATATTTATGTTATATAATATAATTGATTTATAACAATTAATTATATTGTAACAAGTAACTATATTATAGTACTGCAATCACATTATTTAATACTGTATACTGTGCATAATATATGATATTAAATGATTTTCTTACACACGGAGAAAACCAATTTTGCTGGAACAGCAAACGTTTGTCGATATGTGACAGCAGAAAAAGTTTGTTTAGACAGCAAGAAATTTGTTCGAACAGCAGGAAAATTTATTAAGAGTACTAATTCTCCATATATCCAGCAAATAGCAATTAATGCTCTTAACAAATCTTTCTGTCGTCCAAATAAATTTGTTGCCGTCCAAACAAATATTTTCTTGCCGCCACTATATTGACAAACATTTGCTGTTCTAGCCAATTTCTTTTCTCCGTGCAGTAACCGAACAATTTAGTTGACGCTATTTAACCAAATCATGACAATTCTTATCAAATCCTTTTTTCGGTGCGCGCGAAAACGTGAATTAATTAATTCCTATCAATTATTTTTCTCGATATTAAGGACATTTTATTATTAACATGTTATTCTTCCCACCTGTGCTTTCTTTACCGGGACTTTTAGAAAAGAGAGAGGTTTCTCGCGTAATATCCGTAGTTGTGTGTGATTGCGGAATCTCCAACGGCCGATTGTGCGGCACTTTTTCTTTCTCTTTCTTCCTTCATACGCAGCCGTTCCCGGGTATCTCTCGGGCGCCCTACGTCCGGCGGTCGCCCGTGTCGTATTACACGCCCGCGCACGCACTATACTTGCGCGCGTGAATTATGAATTACGGAAGATCGTGTCCGAAGATGACCTAGATACGCAGCGGGCTGCGAGAAAGGGCATCGACGTCAGGCGTGCCAGTCTCGGTTCCTTTATGTCGCTGCGGAGAGGGAAACGGTGGGTCGGTTAGAAGAAAAAAAAGGGAGAAAAAAGGAGAAGAAGCAAGAAGAAGAAGAAGGGTTCGACGGTCATCGGCTTTCTTTGCACGCCAAAATTCCCGCGCTCGTCGCCCGCTCCATATTGTGTGAGCCGTGAGAAAGAGGAGGCCAGGCGCGCGAACGTATCGATAATTTAGATTCGCCGATTTCGCGACGCTCGCGAGGACGATCGCGCCACGATCGACGTATCGAGCACCGTCATCGGTGATGATTGGACGCACTGAGCTCTCGCATTCTTGTCACCGTACTTAACGAATTATGTGTCCCGGTGATAAAGAGTAATTCATTGGTCGCAAAATAAATTCAACTCGCCAGTCGTTTTCCTTTGATATTAGCGATACGTCATCTTTTCCGGCCGGTAGAATAGTTTGCCGTTTATGATGTTTAAAACGGTATCCCTTCAACTTGTGTGTTTCAGGAGTTACGTTCAAAGCACACAGATTAATCCTCGCAGCATGCAGCAAGCACTTTCAGGAGCTCTTCGAAGGAATGCCGCCTTCTCCCGCGGGACTGATCGTTATTCTCGACGGGACGAGCGCCCACGATATGGAGTCCCTACTCGAATTCATGTACCGTGGAGAGGTACACGTGTCCCAGGAATCCCTTACCTCCTTCTTCAAGGCAGCTGAATGCCTTCAAGTATGTGCGCCTGTCTTTTTTTTCCGTAAATAATGATCTTAAATAATGTCACCGAATAATAATTGTACACATGGCGCGACAGCCGGATATTTCGACGACCCTAAAACGTGCTCGACTTCGGTCCCCGCTTCGGAAGCGAACAGTTAAATCATTTGTCAGGCTTTCCTGACGAAAACGCGTCGTCATTCGCGAACCTTGAGTACTTTCGCTCGGCATCTTCAGCTATTTGCCGCAAAAAAGTCGCGATCATAGACATAAGAATACATAAACGGAGAATAAGGTGCCACTTCGGGGGAAGAGAGTGTAAGATTGGCGGGAAGGAGTCGGAAGATTCTTATACACAGAAAAAAAGGTTCCTTTGGATTTAGTATTTCTATTTATTTGATTAAAATTTGCTTCATGAAAACAACGCGTACTTGTACGAAATATTATTGGCTTGAGTAAAAATTTTATCGTCCCATTCAAGAAAGCTCGATTATTTAGCAGAAAGAACGCTATTATTTGAAATATCTTTTAGCCGAATAAAATATCATTTAGTTGCAATAAATATGTAAAATGAAACAAATATCTTTGTGAGAAAATTATCCTACGTTACAAACAAACGTTTTATTCAAGATAAAGATACATATTCGTTGGAAAGTCTAACAATCGTACTCATTGATCGAAACATTAGTTTCTTTGGAGCAAAAAGATTGCCGAAAAATGAAATCTGTTTGGATGCGATGGAATTGACTAAACTTGAAGAAATCTTTTTCTCAGTGTACTTCGATTGCTTTCGGCTACGTTCGGCTCACATATATCGTTATCGTTGTTACTGAGTTGCCGTCGGGAGAGAAACAATGAGTTTCGGTTGTAAAAATCACAATAACACCGAGAACTATGAATAATATACATCCTTTCCAACTATTTCCACGATCCATCAATTTTGCCGTCGTGGTGTCGCAGAAAGCCGAATATATATTTGAATAGTGCCAAACGGAGATAGCCTATACTATAAATATGACCTCTTGCCCTGAAACCGTCACTCTCGCTGAGCCAATACTCCGCTTGTATACTCTTATATCTGTAGCGATACTATTTGAAAGAATCGGATACTTGCTCGACGCAAGCAGAACGAACATTCGCCGGTGTAACCGACGGCGCTCGCAGCGGTGCGAGCGCGATACAATCGATATCTATTCGAAACACGATTGACTGATATCCCCGTAAATTCTCTCGCGTCATTTCGGCGGGCGACGCGTCGTTCCATCACCTCCCCCAGAACACACAGGTGTTCCCACCTTCATCTATAATTCACCCACGCTGTTTTCCCTGTAAACCTAGGTTAAGGGTCTGTCGATCGAGCAGGAGAAGCTGGCGGTAGCACAAACGCACGCCGCGGAGAACAACAATGCTTCCGCGGACGTAGGAGGCGGCAGCGGCAGCGGGGTCGGCGGCGGGGGTGGAGGCGGCGGAGGCGGTGGTAGCACCGGTGGTAACGTCGCCAGTGGCGTCGGCGGTACCGTCGGCGCTGGTAGAATCGGCAACGGGGGTAGCGGTGGCGGCGGAGGTGGCGTCGGCGAAGTGAGCGACTTGAGCGAGGCGGGCGAAGCCACTATGGTCAGGAACATCATGAAGAGAACCCCGACGCCGGCGCCGTCGCCCGCACCGGCGCACACCGTGCCCAACATGTATTCCACTCCGCACTACTACGAGAGCCCGCTGAAGAGGCTGAAGAGGTAAGGCTCTTTCAGCGGCGCGGAGCGTGTACGATGATGTTTACGGGAAGCCGAAGAAGCGCACGGCTGCGGGTGACCTTCGCGCAGGAAAAGTACTGACGGAAGGAGATGATATGTGGCGGCTGAGATGTTTCTTTTTTTTCTTTTTTTAGCACACTGTGGTGACGAGCAACGAGAAATGTCGTTTTTCATACAAATGCACGTTGCATTCGGAGAAAGAATTAGTAGCATGAAATCTGTAGCAGCTGCGGTGTGTTTTTGAAGTGGGCGTTACAGCGAAAAATATTAGCTGGATCGTACTAAAATTCATATTCGCAACTATCCAATCATCTAAAGTTATATTCTCAACTAGAAGAGAGAGAGAGAGAGAGAGGAAGAGGGAAAATGCAGCTAACCAATCTCAGCTATTCGTAAATTCAGCTGAAAAAGTTGCACTTCGCAGCAAATGCATTTTACCTCTAATAGCTGATTTTCAGCGATGACAGCAGAGCGCGAACTAACCACTGAGATTTAACTGCCGCTACTAAATAATTTCTTCGAGTGTGGCGAAGCGAGATTTCACGTTCTTCAAATACGCGTGCAAAATTTCAGGGAAATTTCATTTCCGTCGTCATAGTGGTTAAAATAGAGGCGGCTAATGTTGTTGTTGTCGAAGCTCCATTTATATTAACTGTTTAAATTTAGACGGCGCGGCGAGAAATAGTCGCTGCCAGGGGGAGAAAGAAAAATGACGGCCGGATTCATCGTGCTGTTGTAATTACGTGTAAACAGCTCGTTAATACACGCGCGCGATAGATACTCTCGGAGATGACTCGCCGCTTTCTCAGCTACTCGGTGCTAATGCGCGCGCTTTGAATTTCTCAACTGATTAATTCGCACCTCGCGAATGAATACATTACACAGCCGATATCTCAGCGAGATACGAGCACCTAAGCTCGAATCGTCCGCTGAAATTCGGCTGACAATACCAAAGTTATATTTCTGCGCGTCCCGCCACCATCGAATGGCGATGACGTGTGCGACGATCCGCGGATGACGAGCGGAGCGATAAATTAAACACGGGGAAAAGGAGCCGGGATATCTGTGAAGCGAAGCCGCGCGTCCGGTTTCGGAACGCCGCTAAGTTTTATTGCGATTATTCGAGATATGCGCGCTGCGCACGTGAAATTAGCGTTTCGAAGTTGTCGAAGGCCACGAGGCCCCCCCCCTCCCGAAGGGCGCGACCATAGGAAACCGGCGATTGCGCGAGTCCGCGCACGTGCGTGATCTTTCGGCTTACTTTCGCCGCGACGAGTGTCCCGCTCTCGTTCCCGGCTCGTTCGTCGCGTTCATGCCGCGTCCTCCGCCTTTGTTTCCTCCCCTTATAACGCCACTACGCGCTGTTTACCAGATACTCGCGGAGGCGTTACACGCTCTCGCCGATTACACCCGTCTGAGAGAGAGAGAGAGAGAGAGAGATACTGTGAGTCGCGACCGCGTATTTTTAGATCGCCGAACAACGTCGATATGCTGGGAAGAGCGAGCGTGTTGCGCGACGGCGCCGACTTCCGGCCCAAGTCCGCCCCGGACACGCTCCTGCTGGAGAATCATTTCTACACACCGTATCCCCTTCCCACCGAGGCGCCCGCGCATCCACACACCGCGCCCCACACGCCTACGGAACTGGAGCAGGAGCTGGAACGAGCGCGGTCCGAGGAACGCAACAACTGTGATCACAGGGAGAGCGTTGCCGAAGGTGAGTCCCCCCCCCCCCCC